GTCACTCACCTAGCACCTTTTTTTAGCGTAGACTTTGAATGAATGGTGAATGTATTGCACTAAAACTTTATGCCCCCCCCCCCCTGGTGGTATCGTTGTTGCAATGTAGTTGTGAAGTACTGTGTTGTAAAGTTGTGAAACACTGTAGATTTGTCCCCCCCCCTCCCTCAATCTCTATCGCAAAGTCCAAGCACGTTTGCAAACTGCCTTAACCTAGATGCCTATGCTTGCTTCAACCAAGAAATAGTTTTCTCCACTTGTAACTTAGAAAAAAACTTCGTGAAAATGTAACGCCATTCATAGTCATGTAGCCATAGTCTAAAGTCGCAGAATCATTTAATCATCATGAAATTATTGAATCTTTTTGTCATAATCAAATCTTAATACCTTTTGTGGTCAGAAGGAGTTCGTTTTGGGACATCTTAGGACCCCATTGGTAACTTTCTCAATAGGCAAGCGGCACTGATTGGACAACCTTAACAGTCATTGTCTCGTGTTTCTGATTGGCCTATTTCGATCCACAATTGGGTATATATATTTCCTAGCGTAGATTTTCCGATCTATGATGTTTAAGAATGTGAAACATGTTTCAATATATTGAGAAAGAAAGTGCCTGTTGTTGAAGGATAAATTTTTTTTGTAATTTCGGACATTATTTTGCTATGACTTTGTAATAAATTTTATAATCATAGAATTATAGAAGCCTTTTATTTATAATCATCGATATGCGAAGAATTATTTTTCTTACAAATGAAATCATATTTCATCTTGATATAATCATTTTATCATAATATTTGAATATAAAAAGCATTTTGTTTATAATTATGAAATCACATAAATTATTTTCAATCACAGAATGTAATCAAAGTAGCTTTTTCTCAATAATCGAAGCATAAAGCCATAAACCCGTCATTCTGATATTGGCATTAATATCACATAAAATTCCGCTTTTTACGTAAAATAAATAAAATAAAACCACATGAATTTTTCCAGAGATGAAAAGGAATTAATGTCATCGATTCGACTACCACAGGGGATTAATTTCTTTATCGAAGTAAGAACAAAATACTCACCAACTGAACAGCCCCTTCAACTGTTGTAACACAAAAACAGAGCCTTGTGTAATGAAAAAAACATACTTTCTTACGGACACCTGCTTCCTTGTTGTTGATTGAATCACGATTTAAAGTTTATTTTTTGCAATTCATCCTCGTATATGCTTTGCCAGTTTTCAAACTAAATCAAAGCTCAAAATATAAGTTAAACTTGACTATTTCAAACATTGATGTGCTTCAACGAGTCGAGCAAAAGCTTTTAAAGGTGTTTTTATAACAAAAGATTTCTTAATAATTCGGAGGTTCAAAATTGGTAAAATTCATGAATTAATCAAGAATTAGGCCTACAGAAAGGCTTGAATTTCATCAACAATTCGACATGTATTGATATAAGTTTTTGAACTAGAACAAGATATTCGTTACTTCCACCAAAAGTACGATGAGCACCTTTGAAGCTTGTATTGTGCAAGCATGTTTTGTTTACTTCAATGTTTTTGACGAAGAGGAACAGTAGCAAAGACTCGAAATTTCTCCTCAAGTGTGATTTAAGAATATTTTAGGCTCACAATTGCAAATTTGTAAGAATATTGAGGCATGGCAAGATATTGCTATAAATAAGGGTTAGTTTCAACAATAGTTGTAGTACCAAGAAAGGAAATCTAATTCTTTTTGCTAAACAGCGAAAAGTGCTAATTTTGTTGTTGCTATAATCGTATTTGAGCGACTTCAAGTTTGATTAAGAATTTTCGATTGTTTGTGATTTTTTTTACATGATAATCATGTACCTATAGTTTATATATTTTTATTTTCTCTTATTTACTATTTATATCAGTTTCTGATAATGTATGATATCTGATAGCATAGCCTATCAAAGTCATTTTATCCTGATATTTTAATTCGTTTTGAGTTATGTTTTTTATTATTTTTGACGAAAATACACAACTTTTATGGTTGAATCGCTTCCTAATATTTTACTCCAACTTGCTCTCAGCTGCTTGCAAAAGATTCGTTCCTTAAAGAGTCGTAATTTCAATGCAGCACTCTTTCGAAGACTACCGTATTTCAAGAAATGCTTATACTCCTGCTGCTGCTGAAAATATTAATTCATTATAAATTCAAACATTCTTTTCATGATAAATATTCTGTGACCATCTTAGATACCATCATGAAATAACATACTTTTGAACAAAATTGAGCTTTCTTAAACTGGGTGAGATGGCCAAATGAGCACCAGCTCGTTCCTAAAGAACACTGCAATTTAGTATTGAATCTAAAATTTAGTAGTCGAAGCAAATCTTTTAGTAACCTCTAGACGATGCACTGGCCCTATCTCTGTTTAATACTTGGCAACTATTATTTTGTTTTTGCTTAAGATTATACAATTTAACTTGAAAATTCTAAGAGAAGATTTCAATTTTTTACCAACTTTCTTTCTACAATGTTCGAATCAGGGGGTTACAATAACTAGAACAGCTGATTACAATCATTACCAAGTATTTTTATGTTACTTAAGTTCCTTTGCGAAAAATTTTTTGGGGGGATGCCTACTCCATCTGGTCGGCACCCCTTTCGTTTTTGGAAAATAGATTATGGGAAATTACGTGGCTATTTGTGAGAGAAAAACTTGGCTTTTAATTCGGTTGCTTCAAAGAATCCACCCCTTGGGCGACCCATCTTCTTAGACGAGACGACACAAGGAACTCGGCCGGGATACATAAACTTGCCTTAACTTCAAGCCTTTGATGTGTTCCACACGACAGAGAAAATTCGCTGCACTGACTGCGAGTAATGATGTGTGGTTTTCCGATTTCTTTGTAGGATGCCGAAAGTTTTTTATCCCAATACAAAATCTTAGCAGGGACTTCTATGCTATAGAGTACATATCTCAAAGCTAAAGGATATCTGCACAGCTAGTTTAACGGGTTCTTCTTGTGTTCAACATCTTTTGTCAGTTTTATTCCTAAGTATAAGGCTGACATTAACAATTCGGCTGACAACCCAGTTTCAGTCTCTTATTACACCATTTTTGGTTTTCTTCTTGAACAGGCTCTTGCATAGTAAGTAGTAATTGATTCGTGCAGGGGCGTAGCACGTGGGGGGGGGGGGAGTTCAACTTTTAGAGAAATGGTCGGTAGAATTAAATTTATAACAAAATATTAATGTAACAAAATAATTTCTGTCGGTAAAATATAGTTTGCATCTCTTACACCACCCCCAGCGAGAATGGCAACGCAACGTCACTGGATTTGTGCAGCATTTGTTCAAACTGCGGCCTTGCGACTAGAGGCTAAGCAAATGGCTCTCAGTTTCAACGGTACCAAAGGTTTCTGCATGTTTCAATTTCTGCTGAATTCTTCTTATTTTTAGATAGTGATAAAACAGAAAAACATAAACGATTTTTGTATTTCTAAAACCTTTGCTATCAAAGATATTTTTTCTGATAGAAAAGCAGATCAATCTGTCACTACTTTTTGAATTTTGAAAGTTTTTGTTTCTGTCATTAGTTTTTTCATTAAATTTTGGAAGATATACGGTTTTCAAATTGTAGCTAGGATAGAAGAAATATTTAGTTTTATTTACATAACGTGAAGAATTCTCAGATAACTTTCAACAGTTTTAAGGAGCACTGCATCTAGATGTTCCTCAAAGGCTTAAAACATGAGAGCAAGCCTTTGTTCCAATAAAAAGGGGGCGCTATTCTAATATTTTGAGCAAAGACACTGCATGCATATTGAAAAAATCCGGCTATTGAGGCTAGTGACTTACATTTAAGTATCCTAAATGCATTTTAGATCCTAAATGATTATTTTCATTATAGATAGACAGTGCTAGAGCACCAAAATTTGCACCGCTTTATTCCTTTGAGACTGTTGCTATCAATCTTGAGAATTTAGGTTTCAGAAAATGAGAAAAATTCCAAGATGATTCGAAAACTTTAAAGAAATCAAACATATCGAACTTTTACTGTTAAAGCTCATTGTTTATAATTTTAAGCATATCTTTTTGCTCTCAAAGTATCATTGTATATTCAACAATCGAAAGTAATTTAGATATATATGGAGCCACATACAAATGCAGCAGTTGCTGGAGATCAGGCATATGTTATCTAATAGGATATATTGCAATGCATAATTAGCATAATTAGCATAATTATTTAACGCATCACTATTTAAAGAAGCAAAAATAAAGTATATCAGTGGTATATATCAGTGAGGTATCAACATTTCTCTTTCTCTCTCTCTCTTTTGAAACTTTGCAGTGTCCTGTATAAGCGCCCTGCGGAGTTTTTAATATTGAAATTAAACGCATATTTGGAGAACGCCTACAATTTTCAGCTAAAAAGGACACCCTAAGGTCTAGAAGAATGGTGAATTTGAAGTCAAAATCAAAACTAAAGTGCAAGCTGGATTAGTACACAAGCTTAGCTTTTGTTGATACATGATCAGTCGAAAGCTTTTATTTAAAATTATAAACTGATGAATAAGAACGAAGTAATGCTGTATTCTAGCCTTTTTCCCGTCTTTTCTCATCATTGTACCATTGTTGGCGTAGAAAGACGCTTTCATTAAGTAGCGCGTTGTTGATAGTAAAAGGACATTTTCTAAATTGTATCATATAATTAAACTTTTGTTTTTTATCTGGCATCAAAATGTCCTTCATCTACCAATGCAGTTTTTTTGAAGCCCTTCCGCTATCCCTGCCTATTTAGTTTGTGCCGCACTTTTTTAGTAAGGAATATTGTGAATGTATGATAGCCAAAATTGGCACAGCCCTATCATTTGCTGTGATCTCTTTCTACTCTGTCACCACATCTCTTGATGTTAACAGAGCAGCCTCTTGTATAGAAATGTGAGTTGGTTCCATGTTACAATTTATAGCCTTCATATTCAGTACAATATTTTGTTGTCTTGTCATTATTAAGCAATCTCAACATTTTTTTCCCAGGATTGCTCTGACTGACCCAAGGTCAAAACACGTGGGATAGAATGCAGCAAAGGTTTATGGAGCGAGAATCGAAAGTTCCTGCTGCTTCTCCCATGAATCCTGTAACAATTGATCTCATTGGCGAGCAATCTGCTGTTTCAAGGTACTCTTTTAATTTGCTATAGTTTATCCTGTTGATTGCTTAGTCTCATGGTTCTTTTGTGTCGGCGCTGTTCAAATCAAAACCAAGCTTATTTTAAAGGCTATTTTCTTCATACCATGCAATTCAAGCTTTTAGAGTCCTCTATCGATAAAACACGGAACAGTACTAAATTATGTCCTGGAATATCGTAGAATGGTGCTAAAAGGAGCAGAAAATAAATCTAACTACAGCTTTGAATGTCAACAGTATATGTTTGTTTGGGAAATGGTCCTAGTTTTTCAGATTATAATTATTTCTTATGATGTTTGGTACACCGAGTCGAGTACGATTAATGATTCAGATTTGTTCGAAAGTTAAAAGAAGATGATTGAAGAAGAAGATGGAGTCGCCTTAGCATTTGAAGACACATTTTCTTCCATCGTATTATTATCCAAATTATGAAGCTAGAACACAACTTGGCCTTGTTTATGCATACGATTGTAAGTTAAAATAAATATCGGGTTTTATTTACCACAAAAAAATTTTAAGTATTCTGGAAACCAGAGTCGAAATAGGGAAATGGGGTAAGTGGAAATGGGGCCCCCTAAATTTTCCTTCCCTTTAGATTTCTTAGGCTGTTATACCCAGTGTAATGTGCAGTTGTTTGAGAAAGAGGTATTTTGGAGCTAAATCTTGAGCTGCAGGTAGTTCAGGAACATAGGCGTCTAGAAGACAGGCACCGCATAGCAGGGGGGCTAGGGGGGCTTTAGCCAAATAAAAATGCCAAAAATTAAATGTCAAACTACCAGAAAAGCCTCTTTAAATACGGTTTTAGCCCCCCCCCACTTTTTTTAGACCCCCCACTTTTCTCAATGCTCCGCGGTGCTTGGAAGAGACAGCCAGCTTGTAAACCCTAGACATGTGTGAAGCATGTTTACTTCAAAGGTAATATATATCTACCTCTAAGTTTTACGCTTTATTCTGAACTGGTTCTTGACGTGCCTATTCCGGCTTAAAAAAAGGGAAGACGGCCCCAGGAATTAAGGATTTCATTTTGCAGTTTGTGGTCTAAGATCGTATCCAGAAACGAATTTCATTTATGCTTTGTTTACCATTTCTGGTTTGTCCCGTCACTTCTTTCATTAGAAAATGATACCATTTGCAAGAAACTAGTTACAACGTTTGATAAAATTTGCAAGTTTGATTTTATTAGGAACGCAGTGTATCTCATACAGCTAAAGAAGTCGAGTATTGTTTGAAACTTGCTCCCTTGCTCTCCTCTTGGCGGGTATCACATTTTCTCCTATGTAGAGCATGTAAGTGACTATTTTAACGGATGCTGGAGAATTTGATAGTCGGTTGTAACCAGGGCCTTTTTTAACATACTATCTAGGGTGGAGCGGGGGGGCAATTGCCCCTCCAGCCCAAGTGACTTTCTATTGTTTTAAACAATAGGCTATTGTCCTCCTCTTTATATAAACAAAGGGTTGCCCTCGCAGCAAATTTCCTTTAGAATAGGCTATGGTTGGAATCTTTGTGTTTAACTTACACACTCTTCTTTCAGCCCTAGAAGCGCAAACTGTGCTTATATTTAAAGCAGTGATAACCACGTTGTGCAGGATAAGCCTTCATTTTATTCGGTTTACCTGATAAAGGGCGTTTAAAAGAGTAAAAGGCTCATAAGCTTTGGCTTTCTTTGTCTGTGCTGGTATAAAATGCCCTCAATTTTCATCTCCTCAGTGATAAAAAATAAACACAAATTTGTTGTGTTTGTCAGAGATAAGGCAGTGTTCTGGTACATCTCTTGGTTGCTTATGACCACAATTGCAATGCTACTAAATGCAGTCTGATATTTCGTCGCACCCCTTCCTGGAAAACTTGCATATGCTCGCAGCTACGCTGTATTTCTGGCACCTGACCCCTAAATATCAATCAAGTCATATATGTTAAACTACAGCCATGTATTTATGAGCGTCGTCGCTCAAAGCTGAAATGCCTTCGCTTGCGGGCTTGCGGATCGCAGCTGATAGTGTGGTGCTGCCTGCAGCTACTTGTAGCCAAAATCATATATGTGTTCTAGCCTGTGTCGCATTTCAGTAGTCAACATAAAACTATCGTTCGCGAATAGGTCTGCCTTCAATGTTCCTTTATTCCGCTTTTTGTGGATGTTATCATCAAATGATAATTGAGTGCATAAAGTTGAAGATAATCTCGCATCTTTGTGAATCATCGCAGGATCTCTGCGGGAAGTGTGGTTACCAGTCAATAAGACGATATTGAATCGCTGCGGGCTCTTCGCGGGACACTGATGAACCTATCGTGTGTTTCCAATGGATAGCAAAGGGGTCTGATGACAAATACAAATGTATTTATTGGTTAATTTTATATTCATCACTGTTTTGTACGCTTTTTGTTAAACCAGACTTGCGTGAAACATTGATATCTAGCGTAACTTCTAGCCTGTTGATATCAATGTTATTTTCAATTGTTCCTGCCGTTCAAGGAAGCAAAATAATATTTTTACGCGTGCGATGTCAAATATCAGGTCATTTGACATCAAACATCTTCTCTAATGCTTGGAAACGTTTCCAACTATAGGAGCCCCTGCAAGTGTGCAAAAACTTTCAAATTACAAAAGCCTGTTTCTTCCTATTCACTTTGATAAAAAGCTGTAAATCGAGCAAAAAATATAAAAAGAGGAATCATTTGGTGAACTTCATTTTCATGCAAACACAATAAAGTTAGCATGATATAATATGATATTAAACATAATGATAAAATGCAATTTATGTAGTGAAATATGATTATAACGGAGCAAAATATATATCATATCATATCATATCATATCATATCATATCATATCATATCATATCATATCATATCATATCATATCATATCATATCATATCATATCATATCATATCATATCATATCATATCAATCATATATCATATCATATCAATCATATCATATCAATCATATCATATCATATCAATCATATCATATCATATCATATCAATCATATCATATCATATCAATCATATCAAATCAAATCAAATCAATCATATCATATCATATCATATCATATCAATCATATCATATCAAATCATATCAAATCATATCATATCATATCAATCATATCAATCATATCATATCATATCAATCATATCATATCAATCATATCATATCATATCATATCATATCATATCATATCATATCAATCATATCATATCATATCATATCATATCATATCATATCATATCATATCATGTCATGTCATATCATATCATATCATATCATATCATATCATATCATATCATATCATATCATATCATATCATATCATATCATATCATATCATATCATATCATATCATATCATATCATATCATATCATATCATATCATATTCATATCATATCATATCATATCATATCATATCATATCATATCATATCATATCATATCATATCATATCATATCATATCATATCATATCATATCATATCAATCATATCATATCATATCATATCATATCATATCATATCATATCATATCATATCATATCATATCATATCATATCATATCATATCAATCATATCATATCATATCATATCATATCATATCATATCATATCATATCATGTCATGTCATATCATATCATATCATATCATATCATATCATATCATATCATATCACATTATCGAATACCATATAAAGTTGTGGTGTTATTTCTCGCAATATCAAAATATGCAATGTTTTACAATATCATATCATGCAATATTGCACTCTATCGTAGTATGTGACATCAAACTTTTAATTTTGTTTTCCATAATTTTGTATACTATTTCATAATGTATTGAAATATTTCATTTCAACTCAAGGATTCCACTTAAGCCGTTATGGATTTTTTTGGACTAGGCAGAGTATATTATGGCCAAGAAAACAATTTTTAGACCGTTGAACGTTGTTTATTCTTAATTATCATTGATCTGTATCTCAAATAGCGATCACAATATCTTAGGAATTTGGTAAGGACATCACCAATTCGGTGATGATGCACCACCATCGACCTCCAATAAGAAGTAAATATAATGGGATTTAGAAAAACTATCTGATTATTCTTGCATGAGTTGCAAAATGTAACGAAATTTTCCTTGTAGGATGCCAAGTCATCAAAGTTTAAATTGAATAAACGGGCAAAATTGAAATCTTTATCTTCTTGAAAAATTCATATTAATCTTGGTCGGTCATATTGCGGATTTCACTAAGACTCGAATTAAGGGCATACTAAGTAAAGAATAAGAAAGCATATAAACATTAATGAGTGGATCTCAAATTATACCTAAAGCTATTCAGGTTTCAAACAAAAGTCGTTTGTTATCATCAGATGATAATAGAGTACATTGAGTTGAAGACATTTTTGCATCCTTGAAAATCGCCGCAACATATCTACAAAAAGTGTGGTCACCATGAAGGCAAGATTGAATCAAACATAGCAACGAATGACAGTAATAAGAGATGAAATTACGTAACAGAAATGTTACATCTGCGGAGGATACATTGTCTCGCTGCTAAGGAGCAAGCACTGAACATGGCAGCTTATTTATGTCACTAGAGGGAATCATGACACGAGAATCGTTGAAATTGTTTTCTTTATATTAATCGTACCCCATGTTACTTCAGATCCCCATTGAGTGGCTCAGCTAGGACGTGATTCACCAAGCCCTTTAGCGTTGCGCTGAAGTAGCATGAAATTCCTGTGCCTTTGTCAGAGATATCACTTTTAAATAAAACATTGCTAAATTATTCAGCTGATAATTTTATGCAGCATATTAATTGATACTAAATAGGACTCGGCTTATATAGGAAAAGGACAAGAGAACAAGGAGGCTGCTTTAGTAGTCTCCATGGGTGGCCCTTCTCTTCTGTTGTGTATGCTAATCTAACTAACAGATGACCGTTCTTTGAGTGTTTTGGTTTGGTAAGAATATCAATATGCTTAAAAGAAGATTACCTCGTTATTC